TCCCCAGTCCCCGATCCCCAGTCCCCGATCCCCAGTTTGTGCAGGAGAAGCTGCCCACAGTCGCCGACATGCACCTGCCCCTGGTCTCACCCAGCTCCCGTCTGGGTACCAGTTTGTGCCAATGAGGGAGGTTTGGCTGGTTTCATGGTCCTTGGAGGTCGGTGAGTTGCTCCCTCTAGTCTCAGAGCAGGAGGTTCCCGGGGACCCCACCACGGGCTGTCACCCCAACTAGGAACTGTGACCCAGACCACAGGCCATGACCCAAACCTCAGGGCGAGACCCAAAACACAGACTGTGACACCAACCATGGGCTGTGACCGGACCACAGGCTGTGGCCCGAACCATGGGCTGCCACCTGAATCCTGGGGAGGAGCTCCCAGTGAGCTCAGAGCCAGCATTGTAAACAGCCCGACTCACCGAACCTCCTGTCCCCCAGGGAGCGCCGTCGGGATCTTCTTATCATTCTGGATGACGTGGGGGAAGATTAAGTCCATCCCTCAGATCCTCAAGGAGCTGCCACACGCCGAGAAGCAGAAACTACACAGCCATGTCATGGTCATAATCGGGAACCTGAAGTGGAAGGACACCAATCAGCTGACCAAGCTGGTCATGGGCAGCGAGGACCTGCAGGAGCGGCTGCTGGGGCTGCTCGAGGGCTACCTCACCAAGGAGCTGAAGACCTCAGTGCAGCATGGTGACTAGGCTGGGGGGCGGGGGCCCTAAAGTACGGCGACTAGGCTCGGGCGGGGGCCTAACCTGGGGAGGCCTGCGGGGGGCGGGGGGCTGTGCTGGGTCCTGTTCTGGAAAGTGAAGGTGAAAGAGAATAAAACGGGCCGAGAGAATCTCTGTGCTGAGCGGATCCCTGGGGGAGAGCCTGCAGCCCCGAGCCCGCACAGCGCAGGGACCAGAGGACACCGGGCCATCGCTGACGAGTCCCCCCTGCCCTCTGCGCTGGCTCCTGTCTGGGGGCTCAGCCCGGCGGCACCCGGGCGCCTGGAGCAAAAGCTTGTGGATGCATCACAGCCGGTGTCATAGGTGCCCCACCCGGCCCACTCCGAACCTTCCTGACACAGAGGCCCCCGATCAGTACCTCCTACCCCAGCCGTGGGCAAACTATGGCCCGCGGGCCGGATCCGGCCCATTCGGCTGTTCTATCTGGCCCGCGGAGCCGAAAGAGCGGAGGGTTCTTCGCTCTTTTATGTAATGATGTTTACTTTGAATTTATATTAGTTCACACAAACACTCCATCCATGCTTTTGTTCCGGCCCTCCCGTCCAGTTTAAGAACCTCGCTCTCCACCCTCCTGCCCCCTTCCCCTCCCCCTGTGATGGCTGCCTCTGAACAGCAGGTTGAGCCTCGCTGCCCCACCTGCTGAGTCAGGGTCAGACTCTAGGGGGACTTTTGAGATGCAGCCAGAGAGGCCTAGTCTCCCAGGGAAGAGGAACCTGATGGTGGGGTCTAAGGCACCCGTCCAGCTGGCGGTGAGCCTGCCCTGCCACAGGCAGTGGGCAAAAGCAGCAGAATTACCCACTGGAGATGGCCTGAAAGGGCCCAGGGCTCTGGGGCAGGTGTGGGCCAGGCAGGCATCCGGCTCATGCCCCAATACACACTCGCTGCACCTGGGCCTCCCCATCAACACGCCCGCCCCCGGAGGAGGAAGCCCTCTTATGTTTGTACCTGATTTTATACCAGCCTGGCTGGCCTATCCTATATAATAAAGCAGTAATATGCAAATTGACCATCATTCCAGCACACAAGATGGCCAGCAGGGGAGGGCAGTTGGTAGAGCAGTTGGGGGGAACCAGGCCTGCAGGGGAGGGCAGTTGGGGGAGACCAGGCCTGTAGGGGAGGGCAGTTAGGGGCAACCAGGCTGGCAGGGTATAGCAGTTAGGGTCAATTGGGCTGGCAGGGGAGTGGTTAGGGAGTGATCAGGTTAGCAGGCAGAAGAAGTTAGGGGCAATTAGCAGACAGGAAGGCAAGCGGTTGGGAGCCAGCAGTCCCAGATTGGAGAGGGTGCAGGCTGGGCTGAGGGACACACACCCCCATGCACGAATTTTGTGCACCAGGCCTCTAGTCTATATATATAAAAAGCCAGCATCCATAACGATCGGAATGACCGATGACCCATTGCTATGATGCCCATTGTGGCCAGCGAACTGACCTGATCAGGGGGTGGGGCCAGCCGGACAACCTCCTGCAGCCCCTCCCCCAGGCCGGCCCCGGGCCTGATTGCCCCTCACCCCAATAGGGGGCAGGGCCAGCCGGCCAGCCATCCATGGCCTCTCCCCAGGACGCTGGCCCCCGATCAGTACCTCCTACCCCAGCCGTGGGCAAACTACGGCCCGCGGGCCGGATCCGGCCCGTTCGGCTGTTCTATCTGGCCCGCGGAGCCGAAAGAGCAGAGGGTTCTCCGCTCTTTTATGTAATGATGTTTACTTTGAATTTATATTAGTTCACACAAACACTCCATCCATGCTTTTGTTCCGGCCCTCCGGTCCAGTTTAAGAACCCATTGTGGCCCTCGAGTCAAAAAGTTTGCCCACCCCTGTCCTACCCCATTCAGAGGCAGGTCCCGCCGGCCATTCGCCCACGGCTCCTCCCCTCAGCCAGCCCGGCCCTGATTGGGCCCCAATCGGGGCAGGCTGGCTGGCCATCTTCCCACCATCTCCTCCTCCCAACAGGCCCAGCCCCACTCTGCCCTGATTGGGGCTGGACCCGCCAGACCCCACCTGTGCATGATTTCGTGCACTGGGCCTCTAGTTCAAAAATAAATAAGGGAAGGTCTTTTACAAGGAAATAAGCCCAGGTGCTGAGCTCGCCTGAGGGGAGCCAGGTAAATACCTTCAGCCCCGAGGGGGGCTCTGGGCCCAAAGCCACTGCCAGCCTCCCAGGACCCGGCTCGTCATGGGTGACAGCTCAGCACAGTGTGGGGCCTCCAGCCCCTGGGGTCAGAGATGGGGCTGTCTCCTTCCTTAAGCACCGTGGGTTCGAATCCACCCTCAAGTTTTCTTTGCACACATGGAGGTGCAGGATCTGACCATCCTCGGCAGGAGGGCACCACCCATTCCAACCCACCCCCCAACACACACACTCCCAGGGAGGGGGAGCAGCGCCCCCTGGGGGTACCGGGAGGCGGAGCAGCCTGGAAAGGTGGGCATCAGGCAGGGAATGCCCAGCTTCCTTCCATGTTTAAAGTCACCAACCCCCTGCCTTCCTTTGTCCCTGGCGTTGGGTGGGCGCGCCTCCCGGGTCAGAGATCTTTCCAGGAATTGGAGGGGAAGGCTGTTCAGAAACCGTGTGGATCTGCAGACGGGGAGCTGCGGGTCTGAAGGCAGCAGTGAGGCTGTTCAGAAACCGTGTGGGATCTGCAGACAGGGAGCTGCGGGTCTGAAGGCAGGACAGTGTCCTGGCCCCGAGTCACTTCTGCATCTGCGTGGACACCCTCCTGCTCCTGAAGATGCAGAGTCCCCGAAGCTTCCCAGTGCCCACAGCACCCTGCCCCTGGGCTGGTGAGTGGCGCAGGCCCTCCGGACCCCCAGACCCTCCTCTGCACATGGGCATCTCTGTCCACTTCGGTTCTCTCTCCAGGTAGCAAACCCCACGCACAGGCCTCCTGGGCCAAAGGCCATTGCTCAGCCCTGAAAGCGGTGCTGCCTGAGGGACAGGCCCCGGCGCCTCATGGGACAGCGAGTCCTGCTTCTTGGAGGCTGGGATCCACAGCACAGGACCCGCGACCAGGACGCCCCCAGGGACCATGTGGCTCCGGGAACCAGGCCTGCCCACCCCCCTGGCTGGTGCCTGCCTGCCTGTCA